CTGTCAATCAGGTCATAGCCAATGGGCATGGCCTCCTGAGGATTCTGGGAACTCCCGTATTCCTCTCTGGAGGTGGGAGACACTCTCTGTCTCTCTCTCTCTCTCTCTGCTCACTCCCTGGGAGACATTGCAGCTGACAAGACACATGGAATTACATTAGTGCCCTGAGCTGGAGGAACCACACAGAGACCTCTGTCAGTGCTGAGATGCCTCTACCGCCACTGGATCCACAAGACTTTTCACCCACTGGCCTGTCATCTTTCTGCATTTGGCATTAGTGCATGTGTTGCATGAGTTTGAAGAGGAATTTATAGACTAGTACTGAATATATGGGCTAATATTGGACTTATGAGCTTGGACTGGACTGGGCTGGGATGTTTTCTTAATGTAAACTTGCTCTTGTACATAAAGCTCTTTCTTATACACATTTGAGTCTCCCTGATTAGTTTCTCTAGTCAACTGAACTAACACACTATTATTCTACAAGTAAGAGCAAGTTTCAGAGTCTCTTCTGACATTCATTTAGATCTTTTTCCTTTCCTATCTTTTAGTGACTTCTTTGCTTTCTTCATGAATGATGTTCTTGATGTCTTCCCACAGTTCATCAAGCCTTCAATTACAGTGTTCAGGGCATCAAATTTGTTCTCGAGATGGTCTGGAAATTCAGGTGGGATAGACTCACAGTTGTATTTTGTCCCTTGTGGACTTATTTTGAACTTTCTTCAGTTTTATCCTGAACTGATATCGAGCTTCTCCATCATCTCTTCCCTGAATGTAGTCGATTTGATTTCTGTGTACTGCATCTGGAGAAGTCAATGTGTATAGTCACTATTTGTGTTGTTGAGAAAAAGGCATTTGCTATGAACACGTCATTGGTCTTAGAAAATTCTGTCATGCTCTCTCCAGCTTTGTCTCTTTCACCAAGACCATATTTTCCAACTGCCTTTCCTTCCTCTTAGTTTCCAGCGTTTTCATTCCAATCAACAATAATTATCAGTGCATCTTGATTGCATGTTTGATCAATTTCAGCCTGAAGTCATTGTACAATTCTCAATTTCTTCATCACTAGCTTTTGTGATTGGTGCGTACCTTTGAGTAGTACTTATATTGATTGGACTTCCTTGAAGGAAGATAGATATAATCCTATCACAGGCAGAATTGTACTTCAAGACAGACCTCGAAGTGTCCTTTTGGAAGATGAATACAATGTTATCCTTCTAGACTGTGTCATTCTTGGATACGAAACCATATGATTTTCTGATTCAAAGCAGCCACTAATGCCTAGGATCTTGATTTTTGTGTGTTCCATGTCATTTTTTGAAGACTTCCAAGTTTCCCGTATTCTTACTTGGCACATGCCAAGCTCTGATTATTACTGGGTTTGTAAAGCTGTTTCTTTTCGCCTTGAGTTGTGCCCCACCTGCAACTGAGGATCCAGAAGGCTCCACCCGCCCCACCCCCTGTACTCCATCCAGATCACCAGGGTTGACTGGACTTTGAGAAGGCAGCTCCCCCTCAGTTATACTTTGATTGCCTTCGGATCCACGAGGTCCGTCCTCCAGAACTCGTTCTGAGAATGCTCTGCTTCCACTCGTGAGGGCTTCAATATCTGACAGTGTGTCCACCCTACACATAAGGTTTTCAGCAGTGACTTCTTCCAAAGTGGACAGCCGATTCCTTCTTCACAGTCTGTGCCCAGTCTAGAAACTCCCCTGAAACCTGTTCCCTCTGAGTGACCCTGCTGGTGTTTGAAATCCCAGTGATACTGCTCCCGGTGTCCCAGCAACAGCCAAGCCACCCCAGCTCATCTGACACACTCACAGACGCGTAGTGGACTTTGTAATGAGATGGTGATAGAGATGACCGTCTTTGGTCCACACAGATGGTTCCTGGATGATTACTGTGGTCCCTGGGGCTGTTGGGGGCCATCTAGTCAGTCCTCACTCACAGCAACCTTACCCTCAGGAGAACGAAGCACTGCCCCGACCGCTCCATCCTCACAAGGGGAGCTATGCTTGAGCCCCCGTTGCAGACACTGGGCCCATCTTCCTCATCGAGCGTCTCCTTCATTTTCCCTGACTCTGCTAAGTTCAATATCCTTCCGCAGGAAGTGGTCCCTCCTGATCACAGCCTGAATACAGGAGACAGCGGTTCACCATCCTTGCTTCCGAGGAGCCTTCTGGCTGTGCTTCTTCTCAGACAGTTCTTTTTCTTCTCCCAGCAATCCATATTCGTTCCATACCTTTGCCAGTCCCAGAGCCCGAAGGCACCACGTGTTCCCAGTTGTCCTTATTCACCGCCTGCTTTGGCACCTGAGGCCACGGAAAAGGCACTGCTTTGTGTGAGGCACACACGCTTCCTCCAAGTTACTTCTTTGCTTTTTAACTTTAAAGAAGTCTTAGGCAGTGGATTTGCCAAAGGCCGTAAGTTGTCTGGTTTCCTTGAAACTCTTCCAGGTGCCACAGAGCCTTGAACTCGGCTTCACTATTCTTCCTTTCGTAAGCACTGAGAGATGATGGTAAGGAAATGAGAAGGTCTTTAGACCTGTGACTTTTCTCTCTGTTTTCCTCCCTTTAATTTGTGGACGGGCCCCAAGGGGATGTACCCACTCGATGGCTGCAACAATCAGTTCAAGTCTAGGAACCGTTGTGAGGTGTCACGGGCATAAGCAGTGTTGTGTTCTGCTGTGTAGAGGGTCGCTATGGGTCAGAACCAACTTGATGGCACCTGACAACAACATTTGAGGTGTGTAGCACACACAGGACAAACATACAAGACACAGCTGCGTAACCCAGCTCGTCTGAATGGTGAGAATGTCCTGGTACACTCCCATGCACATGGCCCCTTCTTCTTTTTGTCCCCTCCCTATTCCCCCCTTTCCCTCTCTCTCCTCACCCCCATCTCATTTCACCACAGCTTTCAATGTCTCCTCTTTTATTGTGAAAATGATTTTTTCTATTCCCCCTTTATAATTGTAATGTAATGAAGCATTTATCTTTATGAGATTAATTAACTCTGCTGAGCATAATGTCTTCCAAATTCATCCATGTCATGAGGTGCTCGACCGTTTCATGATTGCTTTTGACAGATGCATCATATTCCATTGTGTGTTTGCACCAGAATTTACTTATCCATTCCTCCACTGGCAAGGTGTTTGGATGTCTCCATCTTTTTTCTGTTATAGAAAGCACTATGATAAACAGGGGTGTGCACAGAACTGTTCATCCTTTGTTCTTTATTTCTTTGGGGTATACACCTAGGAGAGAGATTGCAGAGGAATATGGCATTTAAGGTTGCATTTGTTTACAAAAATGCCACACTGTTTTGCATGGTGAGTGTGCAATCCTGCAATTTCCACCAGCAAAGTCTAAGTGTTCAGACTCACCACGTCCTCTCTGGTTCAACAACCTGTGTCAGTCTTTCCAACCCTGACGGCCTCTCCTGTGCTGGTGAGGGCAGAGAAAGTAAGTCAACAGGAGGGTGGAGGAGGGTGGGTTGGGAAGGGGGAACCGATTACAAGGATCTACATATAACCTCCTCCCTGGGGGATGAACAACAGAAAAGAGGGTGAAGGGAGACGTCGGACAGTGAAAGATATGCCAAAATAATAATTTATAAATTATCAAGGGTTCATGAGGGAGGGGAAGCGGGGAGGGAGGGACAAAAATGAGGAGCTGATGCCAGGGCTTAAGTGGAAAGCAAATGTTTTGAGAATGATGAGGGCAATGAATGTACAGATGTGCTTTACACAATTGATGTATGTATGGATTGTGATAAGAGTTGTATGAGCCTCTAATAAAATGATTAAAAAATAATAATAAAATAAAAAGAAAGTCAAGGAACCCAAGTGGTCTGAGTCCATGTTTGAGAATGTGCCTTCCCCAGCACCCTGGATGAAAAAGCGGACCTCGTAATGAAAGGCTGTCAGAACAGAGTGAATTCATTCAACACCCAATTTATTCTGAGTTGATTCATTACCAAGATTAGGTAAGGGGTCATCTGTACAATTTTACTTACATGTTAATATCGATGAAGTTATTTGATAATTTCTGCATCGTGTTAGTAAGCACTCTTGAGAACAGACATTGTCATAGTTAAGGTTTGTGTCCACTTGGCCAGTCCAGGAATCTCAGTGGTTTGGCAGTTAAGACTCAGTAATGTCCCAGGATGAGATCTTCCCAAGGGGATGGCCTGCTGTCAGTCTAAGTTGGCAGTATAGAGAAGCTGGCTTGCTTTTTGCTGGATCTGGATCCTACACCTTGCTTGTTCTCTGGGCTCGAGAAAACAAACAGCCAGCCATGCTACCTGCTGACCACCACCATCAAGTGCCTGCCATCTGACCTGCCCACCTTGGATTCAGGTGCCTCTGCAGCCACCAGCTTGACTTGCTACCTTTGAATGTATTTGTCTCTTTAACCAGACCCGGTTGTCTTCTTGCTGGTCTTCAATTCATCAGCGCTGGCAGCTATCAAAGATTTCATTTTACTTGGATCCACACTCAACACCCATAGAAGCCGCAGTCAAGAAATCAAGTGGCACAGTTCACTGGGCGAAAGACCTCTAGTCGAAGACGTCAACTTGAAGTCTGAGACGCCCCCGGTCTTTCCAATCGCCTCGTATACGTGCAAAAGCCGGCCGGAGTAAGCGAGACCAATGAAAACGAAGCCTGTGAGTTGTGATGTTGGCCAAGAACGTTGAATATCCTGGCAGAAGAACATCATGTTTAGTTTAAAAAAGAGAGATTGAGCGGGAAAGCAGGCCCTTGATTACATGGATAAGGTATCGACTGATCTAGGATTACTAGGAGTCAGAATTGACTCGGTGGCAGCAGTTTTTGTTGATTTTTTTACATCCTTGTTTATTTATTTTAACTTTCTGAGCCAGCAGAGCTCTCGCTGCGCCTGGGGCGCCCGGAACCCAAAGGCTGAGGTTCCGTTTCCGGCCGGAGGGCTCCTTCCGCTGCTCCCGGAAGTCACGGCCGCTGCCTAGGTAACGGACTCGGCGGCGGTAGCGGGCTCGGCGGCGGCCCAGCTATGGACTTGGAGGAGGCGGTAAGAAGGCACCGGGGCAGGAGTGGGGCTGAAGAGCAGGGTGGGAGGGTGCGGACGGGCCGGGAGCGAGGTCCCGGGAAGAGGGCCGGTTGAGGAGATGCGGCCGGGGAGAGGGACCGGTCGGGGCCGGGGGGCGGCCCGGGCGGGAGCGTTTGACCGGGCCTGGGGGGTTGGCCTTGGTGAGGTCGTGGTGGATGGAGAGCAGGGCGCCTGCGGATGCGGGTGTGTGGGCCGGCCGGCTGGCCGCGCGGCTCGTCCTTGCTGGGCGAGACCACCTGCCGGTTCCCTCGGGTGCGGGGAGGGGCTGCTCCCAGCATGCACCGGCTTAGTCCCGGCGCGCCCTCTGGGCACTTGCCCCCGTCCCGGGCGGTGGTGGCCACGTCTTGTGTGGGGACATCCCAAGGGACCGACACGTGCCAGGACCAGGTCCCGGGAAGTGCTATTAGATGCGAAAGCACATTCAGCTTTCTTTTCTTCATTCAAATGACGCCAAAAGCGTGCCACCCTTTAAAGGAGTGGCCTCAGCCACTGGGTTCCGGGCGCCCCAGGCGCAGCAAGAGCTCTGCTGGCTCAGAAAGTTAAAATAAATAAACACGAATGTAAAAAAATCAACAAAAACTGCTGCCACCGAGATACAAGGTGATACGATTTCAGGCACCAAAGACATTGGGAGTAAGCTATTCAGTGTCCATCAGAGAATTAGGCCTTCCAGGGGACTACAACGAAAGGTTCGTGGGAAAAGGGAATTGACAAAAAGACAAGAATTTTCCCATGACCTTTTGGAAGCCCCTGTCTAGGCTTGTATAGAAACAGTGTGGCGCTAAACGTATCGACCATGCGCTGTCCTCATCAACTGTCCGTTCTGTAATTGCTAGAGTAAAAACTTATTATACTAACTCACCATTCCTCAGTACCCTGGTGGCATCCTGGGTTATGCTTGGGGCTGCTAACAGCCAGGCCAGCAGTTCGAAATCAACTGCTCTGAGGAATTTAGACGAGGTTTCCCACTTCCTAGAAGGGCCAGCCTCAGGAACCCACAGGGACAGCTCTTCTTGCCCCCGGCTCAGCGTGAGTGAGAAACGACTCGCTGACCGTGAGTTTGGGACTTTTTACCCTCAATACTCTGAGTAGGGCCATATCTGTTTTGCCCAGGAGTAAAATGTTGGTATACACTTGATACTCACTATATTGCTGAATGAATTACCTAAATTAAAATCGAGTGGCTTTGTAGTGGGTGATAGGTTCTTCCTACTTTTTGTCTTTTCTCCACTAAAATTTGTCTTCTGACGGCGTTTTCCAGTTTTATTTACGTTTTGTTTCCAGTGTTACCACTATCACCCTTGGTGTTACCCTCACTGCCAACTTTAGACAAATTTCTGTTACACTGTTGAAGAGACGAAACTGCTGTCGTCCTTATTGGCAAATCACCTCTCTGTTTTCCATTTTTACTTAGAGTGAAATGACAGGGATGGTCTAGATTGTTGGGAGTTAGGTACCATGTACTACGTGTGGATTGAGAGATAATGACCTTTTGTCCTCTAGAGAGAGTTCAAAGAGCGATGTACTCAGTGTGCTGCTGTCTCGTGGGGGCTTACCGATGAAGGCAAATATTATTGTACTTCTTGCCACAATGTTACAGAAGTAAGTAATAGGTATAATTTATGAATTTGCATATGTTTTAAAAGTGAAGTTTCAGCCTAATAGGTAGCATAATTTCCAAAGAATTGATGTATTTTTTACTCACATTTAATGTTAAAATTCCATGATTGTAATTAATCAAGTGCTTACACATAGCTTAAGAGAACTGCAAATTAGGATGAGTTTTTGAAATTACGTTGAGTTAAGGAGCTGTGTTAGCATAGTGGTTGTGCTGCTAACCATAAGGTCAGCAGTTTGAAACCACTACCAGCTCCCTGGGAGAAAGAAGAGGCTTTCTGCTCCCTAAAGATTTACAGTCTTAGAAACCCACTGTGAGCAGTTCTGCTCCATCCTGTGGGTCTCTGTGAGTCAGAATTGACTCGATGGCAGCGAGTTTGTGTCTTGCCTGCCCTATGAGTTTGCTCGTCGTCATTGGCATTAACTGATACGCCTTATGTTCTCAGTGAGTTCAAACCAGCACACCCAGATTGCGTCAAATATGGTTTGTGTGGCTGGACAGATGACATTCCAGCAGTCCTATTGTTAGAGACATGTGTTTCCTTTTTTTATAATGAGAAGATAAATTTTATTCCAGACCTCTAAATTTAGAAAATACGTAAATGTACCTTGTCTAATACAATAATTGTCCTGTGACTGAAAGCTGTCTTCTTAATAGTCTGTTTCTGTTTCTTGCAGAGAACTAGAGAAGTTATAAACACGGGGGCTATTCCTAATACCAAGATACAGGCCATCAATCGGGGACTTAAAAGAAAAAGAAAACTTGGTCTGTTCTTTTTCCTTCTGTGCTTAGCAGTCAATCACATTTTGGCACTTCTTTAACTCTGTTTTGCCTTCACAATCGGGGGACATGGGATGGACTTTTAAGTAGACTGTCAAGCAAACGACAGATTGTTAGCAGGTAATCCAGGATGGAATTAAAGGCAGTTGCTGCTGGCGGTAAGGTGCAGGCTGGAATGGCCTTTTTCTCCTGCTTTCTGTCGGTCAGTTGCAGTGTCAGGGGCAGCTATTATGCTAAGAGGTGAGAGCCAGCAGAGCCTGTGTTCTTCTCTCTCTGTCTGTGTAAGTTCTTCTGCGGTTTGTTATTTGTAACAAATTTGGCTTTCTATGCTTTTAAAGAACGATACTTTCTGAAATGATTCAGCTATAGAATTGTCAGGTTAGGCAAGCTAAACATGCTACTCAGCTTTTCAGAAATCTTTTTCTCACATGAACTTGGGACACACCTTTGTATAATAGGGAAAATTGTTTTCTTTTAAAATAGCCTCAGTATGGGTGTGCTTTGAAAGCTAATCCATTCCATGAATCCAGCGAGTACATATAATTAGTAATTCTTGAGAAGAATCTGAGGTCAAGTCTTCCCGGATGCTGGTTCTGTGGCATGGCCTACAACTGAATCTCAAGTGTGAAACGAGGCGAATGATAACACTGCATTCTTCTAACCGGAGGCAGCACACACACAAACACACAAACCTTCCTAAAGGAAGTGGGAAAATGCCGCGATGTTTCAGTACCCTCTCCGCAGACGTCTTGAGGCTCCTCTTACATACCCACCCACCCGCTGCCACGGTTTCCACGCAGCGCTCTAAGGGACAGAGTAGAGCTGCTCCCTGGGTCACCCTGTTGGTACCTGGTCAGAGACCCTGTCTAGGAGCTGGGCTCGATAGCGGGGCCAGGAGGTCTCGAGACGTTGGGTGAGGAAGAGGGAGGAGTGCTCAGGTACTCTGCAGGGAAAGGAGATCTGGAAGTCGGAGTTAACAGACTTCAGAAGTTCAGTGTCAGAAGGGATGATACCATAGTTTCCAAAGCGTTATGGTACTTGTCTGGCAATGAGGGGTAAACAGTGAGGGGTTGTAACAGATTGAAATTTTTACTTAACTAGTAGTTCACATGTGGCTCTGTCTGTTGTGGTGACTTATTTCTCTACCGTCCCTTAGGATTGTTTTGAGGATCGAAGAAAATAACCTATGTTTAAATATCTTCTACACACCTGCCATCTAGGCAGAGATCAATAAGTATTGTTTCCCTCGCTCACTGTTTCTTCCATAATTTAGAGTCATTTCTAGAAGAGCAGAGTGCCGTCAGATAGTTTATTTTCTTTAAACAGTCCTTTCTAAGGACCCCTGGTGGCGCAGTGGTTAAGCATCGGTCTGCAATCTGTAAGGTCTGCAGTTTGAAACCACCAGCCGCTCCTCGGGAGAAAGAAGAGCCTTTGTACTCTCATACACAATTGCGCGCTCAAACTCACTGGGCAGTTCTACCCTGTGCTGCAGGGTCCTTGTGAGTTGTTGTTGACGCCATGGCAGTGAGAGAGAGGGATTGTCCTTTCCTGGACTCCCGTACCATCACATTTTGGATTTTGTTCACACATTCATTATTCCTCTTGTGAGTTCAGATAGAAGAGTGGTAGACGCAATGGATGAGGACTTAACTTAGGATTCTTTCAGACATTGATTCAGTAAATTATATGTTTTAAAAGTATATTTCTTTTTTTAAAAACATTTTTCTGGCTTTTACGTGGTCATTTTGGAAAAAGCATGTGTAATAACATTTAAAATGTGACCAACTATTTTTAGATGGTGCTTAGTTTTAATATATGTGTTACAACTTTTCCATATTGGAAAAAAGAGAACATAAGAATGCAATCTTATTCAGAGATATGGAAAACTTCAAGTTATATTGTAAAAGTCACAAATTAGAGTTATATAGCAACATTATAGCTGACTAACTTGTGGAGTAACGTCTAAATTATGTTCTCTGTCCTTTAGAGAAAGGCTGGGATTGGTATGTGTGTGAAGGTTTTCAGTACATACTCTGTCAGCAAGCGGAAGCCTTGAAGGCCCTTGGAGTGGGCCCAGAGTTAAAGGTAAAGCCATTTGTATCTAATGTTAACTCGAAATGTTGTTGTTTGAACAAAAATGAGATTAGTGTTATCAATAATAATGCTTGAGCTAGTGAAAGAATCATTTACTGAGGTTTTGTTTTCATACTTTTGCCAGTCTACCAATTCCCAAAGTATGATCTGCAGGATGTAAATAAAGCAATATATGCTAAAGAAAATAAAAGGCCTGTTAGTCTTCAGATATTCAGGTAACATTGATTTAAATAAAAACGTTAGAAGACTATTGGTGCTTTCTCTGTGTTGGTAGCTTTTTAACCCCTAAGGGGAGCTGTGTGCGTACTGAGAACAGATCCTGTGGGTTTCTGTGTGCATCTCACGTTTCAGGACTCGAGCTCATAGAACGTGTTTTGAGGAAAAACGTAGAAAGCGCAGGGTTGTCAAACTTGAGTGCTCGTCAGAGTTGCGTGAAGGGCTTGTTAACACAGGTGTTAGCTCTCTGGAATCATGTAGTGCCCACGCCATTGTTTGAATTTTATATTCCTTCCTCTAGTTGAAATCATTTCAGAAAGTCTTTAAGAAGCCAGTTATTTAGCAACAAGTAGTTATTGTGCACTGTTTATTGCACATCGTTGAGAATGAAATGCTAGGAGATCCTGTTTAGCTGGGAAGTGGGGTTTACATGTATGTCAAAGAACCAGGCAGTGGTATACAGACAAAAGGTACGCTGCGGGTCCTCTGAGGGTGTGTGAACCCAGTCCCTCCTCATAGTCATCCTATGTATACATTTTATAAACCGTTCCATATACCTACTGTACTACAGTACACTGCAGATGGGCTCCATTCACTTCATCAAGGACCCTGGAAAGTCTATTTGGAATGAACTCGTGAGCATAAATGTTGTGTGGCACGGACTGACATGAGAGCCCAGCCCTGGGTCAGATCCTTTCCATGGCTTTTCTGCTTATTACGATTGGGATCATCTTGGCCTGAATTTCCTCAGCAGCAAAACGAGAAGCATGGCTATCCTGCAGTCTTGCTGTCAGGGACATAGTAATGACACAGGTAGGGCCCCTACCTACTGGGATTCCATTTTGACAAGTTTGTTGTAAATTGGTTCTTCTGTAAGTCAGGTACCACCAGTACTCCTTTTTCTTTTTCAGTTTTAATAACCTGCCATATGACAGTATGTTGAGTAGTCAGGCACATTTGTCTTTGTTATCAAGTGCTGTTATAACTCCACAGTAAGTGGCTTTAACAGACACATTTATTTTCTCAGTGGTTCGAGGTTAGAATCTGAATGCGAGTGGGGCTGTAGAGCGGCTTTCTCTGTCATCTCTGGAGGAAGGGCTTTGTCTCCGAGGCTCTGCCTCTAGGCAGTGTCCCTGTGTCTTCCCCCACCTCTCTTCTCTTTCTCTGTTTATTTGTTTAATATCTTTGAATCTCTCCAAAGAGCTTGACTCAAGATACACCCTACACTAATCCTGTCTCATTATCGTAATGAGACGACAACACATTCCCAAATGGGATTATAACTGTAAGCATAGAGATTAGGATTTAAAACACATATTTGGGGGGATGTCATCCAGTCTGAAGCATCCACCCTTTGGGTCCCAAAATCCATGTCCTTGGCACATGCAAAGCACGGTTACCTCATCACGTTCCAAAAGTCTTAGCTCCAAAACAGCCCTTCCGAATCGTCTAAATCAAATGTTTGGGGTGTATTTCATTCTGGGGCAAAATTCATCTTCATCTGTGAAGCTGTGGAATCTGGAATACAAGTTCTCTGTTTTCAGAATACAATGGTGGAAAAGGCATGAGTTAGTTAGTTTATTGTGCCAACCTGGCCGATAAACACATGTGGGAATAATTTAAGGGCAGAGGGATAAATGGCTCCATGAGCCTCGCCTTTTGAGTTCTTGGGTCTCTTTGTGATGGTTGCACTAGAGTGCAGCTGCCTTAGCAGTTCTCTGCTTCAGCTTGCAAGGCTGACTTCCTGCAAGACATCCCCAAGGAGAAGCCACATGGACCTACTGAGATGCAACCCTGGGTTCTGGAGCACCCGTGTGGAGACCCCTGCCAGCGCTGAGATGCTAACACATTCACTGACTCGGCTTTCCTCCTGCAGTCAGCATCTTTGTGTCTGTTTTGTGAGATGGAGGAGGACTGGTGTTGGACATGGGTTAATGGGTTAATGTTGGACTGTGGGCTTGGGCAGCACTGGGTTGGGATATTTTCTTGATGCACACTTAACCATTACATAAAACTCTCTCTTTACATAAAACATGAGTTTCTATGGATTTGTTTCTCTGAAGTACTCAGATTAACACAAGGCACAAGGCAGACGTTTCCATTACAAATGCAGAAACTGGAGAGAAGGAAGGGCTAACAGGCACTACCCAAGTCTAAATCCAGGACAACAAATTACATTAGCTCTCAAGGCTTGAATAGAATCCTCTGTTCTTTGAGACAGTCTGGGTATTGCCCTGCCCTCTAGACTCTGGGTGGAGGCTGCTGGGCTCTGGGCTTCAGCTTCTCCTTCCAGGCCTGCTGGGTTGGCAGCTCTGCTTCCTCGGCTATGGGCAGCCCCATTCTACTAGTCTGTCTGAATGGCAGCCGTGCCTCTTCCCTGATTGGTTTACCCATTGGGCATGACAGCCCTGGCCCCTCAGTTTTGGGCAGCAGCCCCCACCCCCTGGCACACTGTAATGGCAGCCCCAGACACCTAACTTGGTCAGGTGCAATTATTTGAAGCCTGTAAGGCTCTTCCCCCCACCCTTTGAGATCCAGAAGACTGATCCTGTCCGCAGAGACCCCACAGGCTGAGGGTCCACCCTGGAGGAGCAAGGCAGCTCTGGTTCCTGTGTCCTTCCAACAGCCCTGCTGCTCTGCCAGCTGCTCCAGGGCTGGGCCTTGGCTTTTCTTGGAAAACAGCACACGAAGCTAGCTCTGCAGGCCTGGGTCCTGCTACAGAATTTCAAGAGCTAATATTCTTTCCTTCATTCCTCCCTTGTCCCTTCATTCTAAACTGATGGATTTTCTACTGTGGTAGTTGGTTAGAGCCGTCGGTCCCAGCTTGTCTCTCTAAGTAAAGATGGTGTCTCCACATGCTTGGTGAGCATTCTGACACACCTAACCTATCCTTATTTTACCTACAAGCATTTTCCAAATCTTTTTAAGTTCTGTTTCATTTTGCACAGTTCATTTCTTTATTTTCACACTTTGCTATGCAAGTGGCAAGGAGAAACCATGTGGTCCTTTAACATGATGCTTAGGAATTTCCCCACCAGATATTCTGTTCATCACAAGTTCTACCACCCACCCAGCATCTGAACATAATTCAACTATTGCATCAAAAGCATCCCCCTTCCTCCACTGCTCAGTCATATGTTCAGAAAGTCTCACCAGACGCATATTAATGTTCACATTTCTGGCAACATTTTGCTCCTGGCACCCTACGTGTTTTCGAAGATGATGGAAGCTTTGTGCCTTAACCCCCTTCACTTCCTGCTCAGCCATGGCCATTAGTAATTCCCCCAACAGTCTCTTTGAGGCAGCCGTTGTTGTGAGGTGCCGTCCAGTGGGTTTGGACTCAGAGTGGCCCTCTGTGCAACAGAAGGAAGCACATCCTCACGGTTGTCTAGGCGTTTCCTATTGCGCACTGCCTTTCCGTTGATTTTGACGTAGAGTGGCAGGACCATAAGTACTTATAGAGTAAATTACCGTATCTTTCTCACATGGAGTGGGTAGTAGGTTTGAATTACTGAATCTTTGGTTATCAGCTGAGCATTTTTACCATTACTATGTGGTTATTGCTGTTAGGTGCCTTCAAATTCATTCCGACCCATAGCCACCCAGTGCACACAACAGAACAAAACATTGCCTGGTCCTGCACCGTCCTCACGATCATTCCAGCACCTGAGCCCCTGGCTGCAGCCTCTGTGTGAGTTCATCTTGTTGAGGGCCTTCCTCTTCTAATGTTTTTCAATAACTTTATTGATACAAAATTCATATATAGTACACTTCCATAGTTAGGTCAGTTTTTAAATGAGTTTTATATGTAGATTATCACAACCAGTTCTAGTGCACCCTTTCCCATCACGTTTGCGGGCCTTCCTCTTTTCCACTGCCCCTTCACTTTACCAAGGTTGAAGTCCTTCTCTAGGGACTGGTCCCTCCTGACAACACGTCCCAAGTGTGTAAGGTCAAGTCTCGTTTATCTCGAAGGAGCACTCTAGCCGTTCTTCTTCTGAGACAGCTTGGTTTGTCCTTTTGGCAGTTCACAGTACTTTCAATATTCTTCACCAGCACCCTATTTCAAATGCATCGTTTCTTCTCCAGTCTTCCTAATTCAACGACCTTCCAGAACATTTACTATTAGGCACCGTAAACCTCTTACAGCTTCTACCAGTGGAGAGGTCTGAGGGGCCGGCCCCAATCCCAACTACGTGGACAGCCCCACCTCCCCCGAGAAGAATTCACTTCAGAGGACAGCACTGAAGCCACAGCTCAGGGAGAGGACATGTCTGATCAGAGCACACAGGAGCAAAGGAAGGGGGAGGGAGAAAGGGTGAAGCACATCCTGGCCCACCAAGTCCTGAGGATGATGTTCCTGCTCAGAGCAGCCAGTGCACAGAGAGGACCACATGGCCAGCCCCACCATGAGACACGGCATCCCTCACTGACCCATAGTTTTATGGGGACAACACTGGTGAGACAGAGTGGGAATTGTGCCCCATCTGATCCCACCACACCGAGGCAAAACACTAAGGGCATGCAACAGAACAGCAAGGGGAACAGAGCAAAAAAGTCCCAAGAGAGTACCAAAAATAGACTTTGGGGCCAGGGCGTGGCACCCCATCAGGCTCCACCAGAAAACATTACTAAAGGTTAAATAGACCTTGAACTATTTGCAGGCTTTTCTTTTTTGGTCATTTTGTTGTTGTTGTTTTGTTTTTGCTCTGCCTTGTTTTTGTGTATATTATCTCTGCATATCTATCTAGATAAGATAGGCGGGCTAAACAATCCGGAGGAGAAAACAACGGATAACCGTTCCAGGGGGGCATGGGAGAGGGGGATGTGGGGGAAAGGTGGTGGTGTTAACAAACCACCCAGGTACAAGGGAACAACAAGTGATCCAAAATCAGTGGTGAGGAGGGTGTAGGAGGCCTGGTAGGGCTTGATCAAGGGCAATGAATGCAAGAAGAATTACTGAAACCCAAATGAAGGCTGGGCATGATAGTGGGACGAGGAAAGTCAAAGGAAATAGAGGAAGGAAATAGGCAATGGGCACTTATAGAGGTCTAAATTCAGGCATGTACATATGTAAATATATTCATATTTGAGGATGGGGAAATAGATCTATGTGCATATATTTATAGGGTTAATATTGAGGTAGCAGATGGACATTGGGCCTCTACTCAAGTACTCCCTCAATGCAAGAACACTTTGTTCTATTGAATTGGCATTCCATGATACTCACCTTCCCGGCATGATTGCTGAAGACAAAGCGGGTGCATAAGCAAATGTGAAGGAAGCTGATGGTGCCCGGCTATCAAAAGATATAGCATCTGGGGTTTTAAAGACTTTAAGATAAACAAGTGGCCATCTAGCTGAAAAGCAACAAAGCCCACATGGAAGAAGCACACCAGCCTGTGTGATCACGAGGTGTCAATGGGATCAGTTATCTGGCATGAAAGAACAGAAAATCATGTCATTGTAAATGAGGGACAGTGCGGATCTATAGGCATCTGGACACCCCCTTATAGAAGGGTTGTGGGGAGGAGATGAGCTAGTCAGGGTGCAGTGTAGCAACAATGAAACATAGAACTTTCCTCTAGTTCTTACTTCCTGCCCCCCCCCCCATCATGATCCCAATTCTACCTTACAAATCCGGCTATTCCAGAGGATGTACACTGGTACAGATGGTAACTGGAAACAGGGAATCCAGGACAGATGAACCCCCAGGAGTGAGAGTGGTGATACCAGGAGGGTGGAAGGAAGGTGGGGTAGAAAGGGGGAACCGATTACTATGATCTACATATAACCCCCTCCCTGGGGGATGGACAACAGAAAAGTGGGTGAAGGGAGACATTGGACAGTGTAAGGCATGACAAAATAATAACTTTTAAATGATCAAGGATTCATGGGGGCGGGGAGGGAGGTGAAAAAATGAGGACCTGCTGCCAAGGGCTCAAGTAGAAAGCACATGTTTTGAGGATGATGGCAACAAATGTACAAATGTGCTTGACACAAGGGATGCATGTATGGATTGTGATAAGAGTTGTACGAGCCCCAAATAAAATGATCTTAAAAAAAACCAACTTCCAGCTTCTATCCATTACCTAATTCCAAGACTGCTCCACGATGTAGGGATCTATAGAGTCGTAATCCCAGGACCATTCTATCATAGTCATCTAGTACCACTCTTACAGAAAGACCACAGTGTCTTTGGAAAACATTTATTTCCTCATGATGTAAAGAATAGAAGCCTGAATTCAGGGTGTGAACTCTAGAGCAGGGTCCTCGAACTTTTTAAGTAAGGGGCCAGATCACTGTCCCTCAGACCCGTTGGAGGGCCGGACTATAGTTTAAAAAAAACTATGAAAAATGCCTATGCACACTGCACCTATCTTATTTTGAAGTGAAAAACAAAATGGGGCAAACCCCTCCAACAGCCTGGATAAATGTCCTTGGGGGACCGCAGGTGGCCCGGGCCGTAGTTTGCGGACCCTGCTAGGCTAGAGGAAGCTTTCTCTGTCTCTGGCATCTGTGCTGGTCTCTGAGCTTCTGTTCCCGGGGAATAGTCCTGTATTGTGGCCTGTATCTTCCTCCATCTAGCTCTCTGCTCATCTATTAAACCCCTTATAGCTCAAAAGAGATTGCCTCAGGGTACCCTACACTCATCCTGCCTCACGGCAACAAAGAGCCCATTCCCAAATGAAATTCTAACCGTAGGCTTAGAGGTTGGGATTTATAACATACATTTTGGGGGACATAATTCAATCTGTGACAACAGTCCACATCTGTTATTGAGCATGCGAAAATGATACTTTAGCTAATTATGTGCTGTAACATTGTATGTAGTACACATTACTGAAGATAAGATGTGCACAAACAAATAACAACATAAGAAAACCCACTAGACTATCATGACTCCAATACATTGTAAGTTGGGAACTACCTGTAAATGGAAAAGTGGGTTTATTTTGTTTGATTTTCTCTTGGGACTATAACCCTGATAGTAACTTTTATTTTATCTGGAAGTGTCAAACTCAAAATAGGTCAAACTCATTCCTGTTGAGTCAATTCCAACTCACAGTGAGGCTCTTCGACAGGATAGATCTGCCCCTGTGGGCTTCTTGGTCTGTAACTCTTTACGGGAGTAGAAAGTCTCACTATTCTACAGAGTGGTTGGTGGTTTTAAACTGCTGACCTTGTGGTTAGCAGCCCAATGCATAACCAACTAAGTCACCGTGGTGACTTAGCTAGAGATATAATTATGTATAAATTGGTTTCTTTCTCGGATCCTCAATTTACTTCTAAGAGGAAGAGGTTCAGTGAAGTGACCTTTACTGTCTCTTCCTTTTCTAAAACCTGAGGTTGAAAAGGATTTACTAAGTGTTTATTGTATACCTGATAGTGGGATGACAATTTTCTTCAAGCAGGTTAGAACAAACTTAAATGGAGACACTATGTCAAGTACAAGTGATTCTTGGTGAGATGTGCTAGTATATATGTTATCCTAATGTGAGTCATCACTCATTTCCCTCCTTAGAATGAAGTCTTACATAAATTTTGGAAGCGCTACCTTCAGAAGAGCAAGCAGGCATATTGTAAAAACCCAATTTATACCAGTAGAAGGAAAGCTACGGTAAGTCACAGGTCTGAAGAGGGGGCTTAATGAGTGATCGTGTCCTCAGAACCATCAGCTGTGTCAGACCCGTAGTGCAGGCTTGGCCCCAAAGCAGAGCTGTCAGACGACAAGAAGGGCCAGGACAGCGGGTGAGTGGAAACGAGGAATGCAGGACGAAGGGCAAAGAGTGCTGTTATATTCGGGACCACAACTAATGTCACGAATACAATGTTATAAATCGTGGAGTGGAAAATAATTTCTCTGAAACCTTTCACCCAAACCACAAGTTAGTTTGAGAGCCGGAGGAAAGGAGGGGGTGGTGTTGAAAAAGTGTTTCTGGTGAGATATTATTCACGACCAAGTTGGGTACCTGGCGATATGCGGCACGGCCACTGGTCTAGACAGAGGAATTAATTTTGCCATTTTATTTGTTGTGGAAACAAGGTTATACTTACTTTTCTAGATAGAAACTTAAGGAGTTTCCTTCATTGACTATTTAAAATCAGAGTTTTTTCTTCATAGGTCATGCTTTTTAAAAAATGTTATCCCTTTTGCTTAGAATACCTATTTACTTGGCATTTGAAGCTTGAACTCAATCTGGGCACTCCACCCCTTGATCTATCAAAAGCTATATTTTTAGCAGATTGCTTTTAATTGATTTGCAAATATGCTATAGAACATTTTATTTGGGGCTGAGGGATTCCACTACTGAGAAAAGCACATTGATAATCCGATCTGTTAGCTGTCATGATACATGCTGCTGGGAGTTCAGGCCACAGACGTCTACACGCTCCTCAGTGGAGCAGTGGGGCCACAAGCTGGGTTGGAAATGGGAGAAAAACTCTTAGGAGGCAAGATGTACGAAAAGGAAAGAAAGCATATGCTAGCTTGAGGCAAAGGAAAGTTTTTGTGTGCTTTGTTTTTAATGTGGGAATTATAGTAGCACGAGTGTATATTAGTAAGTGAAACAAGATAGAGGGAGAGCTAGCGATGCAGACAGAAAGTAAAGGTGAGTGGTCTCTGAGTGGCTGAGAGAGGTGGTAGCTGGTGGACGGATGGAGAATGGGTAGGAGAGAATGGTCCTGTGACATCCTCCCAGCCCCGCTGTATCTGAGCCCATTGTTACATAGTCATTGTGTCATTCATGTCACTGAGGATCTTCCTCTTTGTCGCTGACCTTCAACTTTACCAAGCCTAATGCCCTTCACCAATAATGCTAGTCCCTTCTGATCACATGTTCAATGTACATGAGACCAGTCTCTCCATCAGTGCTTCCAAGGAGCATCCCTGATGTACTTTTTCCAAAAAAAGAGATCACCTTCACAGCCATGGAGTCAATTGTGACCCATGCTAACCCTATAGGACAGGGTTTCTGAGACGCGTAACTATGTACGGAATTAGAAAGCATCTTCCTTCCCCTGTGGAGCGGCTGTGCTCTGAAACTGCTGCCTTTGTGGTGAGCAGCCCAACAGGCTCCCACTGTGCCCATGGCTCCTCACTCTTCCAAGACAGGTTCATGTGCACTCCTGGCAGTACATGTAGATTCCGCCCTCTTCACAAACACCATCATCCAAATGCATCCACTTTTGTTACTCCTTCCTTATTGTCCAGCTCTGACATGCACGTGAGGCATTTGAAATACCACGGCTGGGTAAGGTGCACCTTTGCCTTCAAAATGACAGCTTCACTTTCAGGTACTCTCAAAATGTCTTTTGCCAGCAGAGTGGCCCAATAGAATGCATCATTTGATTTCTTTACTGCTTCCATAGGCATTGATTGTGGATCCTAGTGAAAAGAAGTTGATAGCAACTTCAGTATTTTCTCTCTTTATCATGATGTTGTGAGAATTTCTGTTTTCTTTATGTTGAGTTATAACCCACACTAACGGCTACAGTCTTTGATTATTATCAACAAGTGCTTCAAATCCTCTGGGCTCTCAAGCAAGTAAGGTTGGGTCCATCTGCATACTACAGGTTGTTAATGAGCCTTCCTCCAATCCATATTCCTTGTTCTTCTTATAGGTCAACTTCTTGAATTATCTGCTCAACAAACACATTGAATAAGTATAGTGAAAGGATACAAGCCTGATGCACAAATTTCCTGACTTTAAACCATGCAATATTCCCTTACTCTGTTCAAACAACTGCCTCTTGGAATAATTCAGGTTCCACATGAGCACAGTGAAGTATTCTTACTAAGATCAAGTTTCTTGGGTTGCCAGTTTTTTACTGTGATCAATTCCCTGAGAAAAAGGCAGCTGATAAAGGCCTGCTGACCTTACATAGGGACATTCTGACTACTACTTCAACAATCCATGTGTGAAGACTTAAACAGTGGTACAATACAGTAGTATAAGGAGATTATAGGGTAACAGTAAGTCCTCAACTGAGAATTAAGGTTTGCAGTTTGCACCCCCCCAGCTGCTCCACAGGAGAAAGACCTGGCAGTTGTTACTGTTGAGACTCGTTGAACCTGGCTGCCAGGTCGTCAGCGCAGGTAGGTCTCCTCAACAGCTGCCAGAGGAATCCCACCAGGAGGGAAGTCCTTGCCTCTGGAAGCCAGAGAAACAACGTAAAAGCTCAGTACACCAAAGTTGCTTAAGTTGCAGATCAGCAATGCTCGTTAAGTGTTGTTACTCTCCTTCCCCACTGATCAGCGTTGCAGTCCCCTCCCAGCACAAACTGATCCTCCCCTGTCCCTGCTCTGACCCACCCAGTCAAACCTCTCTGGGGCCTTGTGTGGATAGCAAACCAGTGGGTAGCCAAGCAATGCTTTCCCCATTTCCTTTTTCTCCCCCCCCCCCCCCTTTCAGCATTCCTCCCACCATATGCCCTTCTTCCTCTGCCTGGTAGACAATTGCACACATCAACATTAAAAACAGAAAACTGAAACTGTGGTTTTAGTTTTTTGGGGTTTTTTTTATGGTTTTGTTTTCAGATTTCTGTCTTTTTTTGGCGCCCCCCCTCCCCCCCTTTTCCCTGTTACTTATGCTTCTTGTTCAGCCCAATCCCCCTCTGGATACACATGCCTGCTGGGTGGATGCAGACACACCCACCTATACCACCACAAACTTGGCACATCCACCCAAACCTTTTTTTTAAAAACCAGGCTCCCTCCCTCGCCCCAGAGTACAAACCCACCCTCGTGCACGCTGCCATGACAATAGAGCTCTGCATCCACACCCAAGCTGTGCCCTTGTCTTATCTTTTCCTTATCTGCCGCTTTATACTTTTTCCTTCTTTTTCTTGGTTTCTTTTTCTCTGTCTTCTTCCTCTCCTTTTTCCTTACTATTCTCTTTCTTTATTTCTTCTTTAATTCTATTTTTTCTAAACATATATATGCATAAATCCTTTTTTTTCTGGACTCACTATATGCTTACATTTTTCTCCTGTCCCCCCTGCCTTTCTACTCTCTCTCCTTTTCCTTGTGAAATATATTTCCACAATACCATTAATTCTTATTACCCTCTTTAAAATACATTTACCCCTGATTTGTACAAACTCCTTGGCTTATTCAGATAGCCACTTATTATTGCTATCATTACTTTTATTTTATTCTTTCTTCTCCCCCACCATCCTCAGTTACCCGTCTCTCACTTTTTCTCCACCTCGTGTGTTTTCCAGCTCCTGTTAGACCTCTCTCCAGTACCGTGACAGAGCAACAGCCCGTATACCACGGACTACAGCTAGACCATGATGCCACAGAAAGAGCAGTCAGTCACAGGACACCCCCAAACCATGAAAAAGAGCCAGCAAAAACCACTCAAACTCAATAGGGTATCCTGGAAAAGAGGCCCTGGCACTACCAGAAATAGAGTTCAAAGGAATGCTTAGGTCCATTCCAGAAATGTGAGGGATGTTCTTGAGAACAGCAAAAGATTTGAAAAACTAGAAACCACCTTTCACCAAAAGGAAAGCCAGAGAGCAATCGTACTGGATGATAGAGTCATACAGCACTGTGAAGGGATGAGTAATTGAATGGAAGTAAAGGAAAATCAGGTTTGTAAGCTCAAAGACAATTATTCTTGATTACAAGCGATGAGAGAAACAATCAACCAAAAAAGCAAAGAAAGTCAGAATTATGTGAGACCCTGTCAAGTAAAACAATCTTATGTCTCATTGGGATCCCAAAGCAAGAAGGAAAAAAAATATCTACAGATAATATAGTGTGAGGAATCATGGAAGAAAATTTCCCCAATATCACAAAGTAGAGGAAAATAACAATTCAAGGTGAGAGAACTCAAAAATAGGATTAATCCCAAAAGAAAAACATCATGACATCTCATAGTCAGACTTCAATTTCAAGGACGAGGAGAGAATCTTGAGTGCAGCTAGGGGAAAAAAGAACAGTTACTTACAAAGAAAACTTGATAAGGATTAGCTTGGACTTATCAGCAGGAACAATACAGGTAAGAAGAAAATGGAGCAGCATATTTTAAATTCTTTTTTTAAAAATCATTTTATTAGGGGCTCATACAACTCTTAGCACAATCCATACATACATCAATTGTGTAAAGCATATTTTAAATTCCGAAAGGAAAAAAAACCAAAACGGTGCTTAAACAAGAATCTTATCCCCAGTAAAATTATCCTTAAAGTACAAGAAAGAAATGAAAGCATTTCCAGACAAGGAAAAATTAAAAGAATTTATACAAACAAGACTAACATTAAAAATGATATAGTACTGGGATGAGCATGACTGTGGAAGAGGAGCCCTGGAGGCACAGTGCTTACAAGTGGGCGCTCCCTGCTGTGCCAGTAGTTGGAAGTCAGCAGCAGTGCTGCAAGAGGAAGAAGGGGTTTCCTATCCCGGTAAAAACACTCAGGGCAATCCTACCTTGTCCTGTCGGGTTGCTATGAGTCGGAATTGACTCGATGGCAGTTATGGGTAACAACAGCAGCAGACACACCTAAAAGCAACATACTAGAAAGCACCACTCAGAAATCAATATAATAAAGGCAGCACTCAAAAACAGCACAGAATTAAAGGAGGAACCAAGACACCAATTATTCCACTGAGAAAAGGGTGGAGGGGACAGAACAGACAAATACACAGCACAATGACAGCAGCAATCCTGAATATATCAATCACAATACCAAGTGTCAATTGAGTAAATGTAGCAGACTGGATTAGATAGAAAACAAGGCCCCTCTATATGCTGCCTTCAAGAGACACATCTTAATCTCAAATACAAAAATAGACTAAATATCAAAGGATGAAGAAAAATTTACTAAGCCAATGGCAACCATCAAAAAACAGAAATGGTTATATTAATCCCTGACTCCCAGGAAAATAACATAATGAGAGACAACAATAGACATTACATAATGATTAAAGGAACAATAGAATACATAACCATATCAAACATTCACCTCAATGAAAGATGTGAAAATAAATCAGTCACACCCTCACAGAATTTAAGAGAGAAATAGCACAACAATGATTGTAGGAGCCTTCAATACACCACTCTCAAGGACTGAGATAATCAAGAAAGAAACACTGATACAGATGGGGTAAACAAAGCAATCAATCAACTTGATCTAGACTTACACAGAGAGCACCAACTAGTAACAACACAGTATACATTCTTCTCCAGCGCACTTGGTACATACTCCAAAATAGACCGTAAATAATGTCTTAATAAATTTTAAAACTTTGTGAGTTCCTACAATCCATTTTCTCTTACAACACTCTGAGATTTGAAATCAACAATAGAACAAGAACATAAAGCTAAGTCCATGGAGATTCGACAACATATGACTTAAAAATGACTGGATCAAATAAGAGAATAAAATTAAGCAATTCCTTGAAACAAGCAAGGACAATAACAATAGGCCAACACCTTTGGGACACAACAAAATCAGTTATCAGTGAGCAATTTATAGACACACAGCCTTGAAAGAAAGATGGTTGTCATTGGTAGGTTTCCTGACGTCCATGTTGATTCATACCAATCCTGTGTGGCAGTAGAACTGCTCTGTAGGGTTTCCTTGGCTGTAATTTTTTCGAAGCAGATCACCCAGTCTTCTTAAGAGTGGCTGAACTGCCACTTAAGAGTGGTTCAAACTGCCAACCTTTCAGATCACAGCCAAATGCATCATCGTTTGCACCACCAGAGCTCTTTCCTACTGGTTTTCTCTGACTCTGCCAAGCATGATGTGTTTTCCAGGGATGGCCTCTCTCGATACTGTGTTGACAGTAAGCGGCGTGAATTCTTGCTGTCCTCACATCTAAGGAACATCCTGACTCTTCTTTAAAGACAGTTATGTTTGTTCTTCTGGACATCCATGGTCTAGGAGGGGCTACAAAAAAACACCCCAGAAAATAGCTCCACTGGGCAGAGCTTTTGTAGTATACACCACCACCCCCCCACTGCCCCCACTAGGCGAGCCTTGAGCAACTCATTCAGTGCACCCAGTGGCATCACCTAGGAAGGTTCTCTCTGGTCACAGTGAATTTTTTCATAAACGCAGTTTTCGCTCGAACCTCGTTTTTTGTGATGGTTGATTTAAGAGAACAGCATGTGGCTGTGAAATTTTGTTTCTGCTTGGGAAAAATGCCTTAGAAACTGTTGTGATGTTAAACAGCTTATAAGGACAGCGCTATTGAAAAAACTAGAGTACGGGTGGTTTTCTCTTTTCAAAAAAGGTGAACTGTTGATTGATGGCAAACCTGGATTTGGACATCCATCAACCTCCCCAACAGATGAAAAGGTCGACTTGTAGTGTATTTGGAGTTTGTTCCACCTGCTCAGAGTGTTCATCAAGCTTTCTGTTTAGAGGTTCGGAAAAGATTGTCTAACTGTGTGACAATAGAGGCCTGGTTTTGTGGCAGACGGGAGTGGTTTTGGTACTGTCACAATGCACCTGCTCACACAGCCATCTCAGTGCCCCAGTTTTTGGCAAGAAACCAACATGCCTCTCTTGCCCCCATGCACCTTACTCACCAGACCTCACTTTTGCACGACTTATTTTTGTTTCTGTGAATGCAGCAGGACAGGAAAGGACAGCGAATTTACAACTTAAAACAGGTGAAGAAACAAACTAGTGAGGTGCTGTCAGCCATCCAAATAGATGAGTTTAAAAAGTGTTTCCAAGAATTGAATAGCAGATTTGACAGACATTAAGTGTCATAAAGAGTACTTGAAAGGTGACAAGGTGGTTTTGTAAAAAAAAAACTTAAATATGTAGCTTTGGGAAAAAATCGAGGTTTTATTTTTTTTTTTGGTGGGGGGGTACCCCCTTGTATTCAGCATCCTTTGTCAGCAGTACAAGTCAAAGGCATCAGTTCTTCTTTTTCTTCTGTTTTCCATTGTCCAGCTGTAGCGTGCTTAAGAGACTGTTGAAAAAGCCATGGCTTGGGTGAAGCTCATCTTAGGCATGACTTTGACAGCTTTTCCTTTGAGCACTTTCAAGAGGTGTTTTGCAGAATATTTGCCCAATGCAAGACATCACTTGATTATTGCTGCTTTTGTGTGCACTGATTGTGGATTCAAATAGAATGATGTTGCTCATTGGCACAGTTGTGAGGCGTTTGGGTTTCTTTTCATTGATGTGAATCCATATTGAAGGATGTTGTCTTTGATCTTTGTCAGTACGTCCTTCAGATCCTTTTGGTTTCCGCAAGCAAGGTTGTATTATCTTCATATCACAGGTGGATAACTAAGTCATCTTCCATTCATTCCTGGTGCTACTATTTTCTTCATGTAGTCCAGCTTTCTGGACTATTTAGCATGCAGATTAAATGAAGAAGATGAAAGGTTACAACTCAGGCACATACTTTTTTTTAAACTACACCATATTCTCTTGTTCTGTTTTAACCACTGCCTCTGGTCTGTGTATAGGTTCTGCATGATCACAATGAAGTGTTCTGCAATTCCTATCCTGTGCTATGATACTCATAATTTGTTATGTTACACACAGTGAAATGCCTTTGCATAGTCAATAAAGGTCAGGTAAACATCTTTCTAGTATTTGGCTTTCAACCAAGATCTTTCCAACAACATCAGTGATATACCTCGTTTCACGTCCTCATCTGCATCTAATTTGAATTTCTAGCAATTTCCTGTGGCTATGGGTGTATAGCCTTTTTTCCCCTTCATTTAGTTCCAGCAAAAGTTTGCTTGCTTATGCTATTAATGACATTGTTTGACAGTTCTTTAATTCTGTTGAATCACCTCTATGGAATGGCCATCAATATGCATCATTGCATAAGTAAGTGTGCATGATACAGGAAATGAGCAAAGAGAAGAAAAGACAGTCCAATCAGGATTAAGCAAAGATACAAAGCAAAAAATTGCCAAGTAAATTTGGTAAAGAGAAGCCAGGCCAGTGTGCATGGAAGCATTAATTAATGCTTAATGTTTGTATTGGTGTAGGTTCTAGAGGTACAAGAGAGAGATTTGTGGAAAAGATTGGATACTTATGTTGGCAGTTTGTTTCCTTGCCTCATCCCTGTCTCTAGTCCTCTAGAAGCGTTTGTGGAAGCTTCCCCGAGAACAGGTTTCAGAAGTAAAACTGGGCCTTACAGGTTTGGCAGACAGGTGAAATTCCCTAGACTGGTTTCCTTTATGATATATGTAACGATGAGAAATTCAGTTTATAGAAATGGCTTTGTTACTTTTTACTCATGGGATCATTTTGTTCCATTATTTTCAAATAGGTGTTAGAAGATCATCTAAGCCATTCAGACTGGGAAAGTGAGCCTGAGCTACTAAGTGATGTTAACCTTCCCTTTGTTGAAAGTGGAGCAGAATCTCAATCTGACATCAACATGCAGAAACCTTTCCCCATCATCAGAGCCTCCCAGTCAGGTGAGAATGAAATCCAAACTGTCCACAGTTTTAAAGCTAGTAAATTGGAATTAACTGGACAACACCAAACAAAAACAATGAAGTATCTTTTAATAATTTGGCCCAATCTCTTTATATTACAAAGAAGGGAACTTAAACCACTTGTTGGATCATATAGCTAGGAAAAAGATAAAGTAGGTAAAAATCTTAGTGCAATTTTTATTAGAAGCACATTGTTTCCATGTGAGTATTTTTGTGATTATAAATGAAGATAGAGTGTAGCCAGAAAGAAGGAAGCTAGGTCAGAAAAGGTCATATGTGTATGGGCTTATCATTTTTAAAGTCTGGAAAAAAGGGAATTAAGTTCATAGAAAATTATACAACTTAGCCTTATAAAAAGGTAAACAATAATCAACATAATGGTCCCCTTTTTAATACTTAGAATAAAATCTGGATTACAAATCAGCCTACCATGAATGACACCAAAAATGCAAATTAAAAGCATTTATTAAATGAGTGAATGGATGAATGAAGATAAAAATAGCATGGTGAAGAATAGCTAGGAGAGAGGGAGGGGCCTGGTCTGAGGAGGTGCTGTCCAGTGAGAGCTGTAGAGAGTCCTTCCGAAGAGTGACATGTACATTGTGGCCTGGGTCAAACGAGTGATAGATTTTGAAAAATTATTTTAAAAATTCTTCACGTTCCCAGTCGTATGCTAACTGTCCAGCCCCCTCTTTAGACTCGAAGTCATCCTACTCTCACAGATAATCCAGTCCCCCCCACCCTTTCTTTAATGGATGTCTCTGAATTTCCGGTTGTCTGACTCCTTGTCCAAGGTATTTACTTACAAGTGACTTTAAACCCTGATTTCCCCCCTAAGAAAGAGCGTCGGTGTGTTCTGGATCCCTTGATGGGGTTGAGTACTCAAGACGAAAGGAGAAGGGAACGGGCAAGATGACTGTGCCAAAGACACTTGCCTTCTGCTACCTGTCGCTGCTGTGGCAGAGAGAGACCCTCGCTCTTTCCGATCTTTTGCGGTAAGCCCGACCATAGTGCGGTGACGTTTTTGCTAGGTATGAATTAGGGGCTGGATATCTTGGATATTTTGAATTTTATAAGTCAAAAGAGACTGAAGATTAGTGCCCTCTATTCTGAAATGTAATTCATCTCTGGGTGACTAGGAGTGGTGGCCTATAGTGGCTTACATGTTGGGCTGCCAAGTGACTCCAGGGTCAGCAGTTTGAACCGGCCAGTGCTGTGTGGGGAGGCAAAGTGGTGTGCTCCCATAAAGACTCAGAGCCTCAGAGCCCCAAAAGAAGCAGTTCTGGTCGGCAGTTTGAAACTACCAGCAGCACTTTGGGAGAAAGACTGGGCTTTCTACTCCCAAAACAGTTATAGTCTCTGGAAACCACAGCGGGTCCCTCTGAGTCAGCATTGATTTGATAGCAGTGAGGTTATTATTATTATTATTAAAGCGAGTAAAATGCTTTGAAGATAAAAAGTGACTGTTAAATTCCTGAGTAGTAATATTAAGTAATTTCCACTTCTAAGAGAAAAGATGAACAGGCGATCATTATTAGTAGCTAAACAAAAGTATAAATTGGTAGTAATAAGCCCTGACATACAGGTCGATGTTTGTGAAGTGAAATTGAAAATAAAAATGTTGGAAGAACCTATTGGGTAGTCAGCATTTATTGTTTTAAGGAAGTCTATTAGGTTTTATGGTTAATGAGTACACTATGTCATCGTGTATAAGACTGTCTGATTTAATGGAAGATGTGTTAAATCCTGATCCAAATCCCAAGGATATTCTTTAATGAAATGGGAAATCTAAAGCAATGTTGTAAAAGAAGAAAGTAGGAGACCTCACACTTCCCAGTCTAATGATGTACTTTGCAACCACTGTAATCAAAACAGCCTGGTACTGTTACAGTGACGGACCAGTGGAATGGAATTGGGAACCCAGAAGTAAAGTCATCCATCTATAGGCAGCTGATCTTGGACAGAGGGTCAGAGCCCATTCATTCAGCAGGGGTAGAAACAGTCTCCTTAACAGAATGGCAGAACTGGATTTCCATCTGTAGAAAAGTGAATCAGGACTATGACTTCAGACAGTGCATACAAATCAGCTCAAAACTCAAACACTAAAGCGAACTCTGAAGTTCCTGGGAAAGAACAGACGGCAAAACAAGGAAACGGACCTTCTGCATGCCGCCTGCCAGACAAAACTGGAAATGTGTGAGCAGCAAAATACAAGTTAAGAGAGCGGACACCTCCTACAAGGTAAATGCGTGTGTTCATCAAAAGACTACCACGAGAGTAAGAAGAAAGCTTACATGATGGGGGAATTTTTTCCTTACCAAAGACATATCCAGTGAGGCTCTAATTTCTAAAATATATAGAAAACTTCAACAACTCAACAAAAAGACAGTCCAGTCAAATATATGAAAGGGGTATGAATATGTACTTCACCAAAGATGATCTTCCGGCGGCCAGCAAATGCTGATACAGGAAATGACCCTCACAGCCATGCGATAGATGGCAAGCAAAGCTACAGCGAGACACTTGCTCATCCTAACAAAAAGTTCTACTGGTCAGAAAAACAGAAAACAAGAAATCTGAGTGAGATTCTAGAGGGATTAAAACTCTTCAGCCCTCCTCAGAAATTATAGAATGGCATCGCCATCGTGGAAGCAACATGGCACTCCCTCAAAAAGCCGGAACTTGAAAATACTGACTGTGCAACAGTCCCAACTCACAGGCTTGTGTCCCGGAGATGCCAGAGTGTGACCCCGATGCACATCCGCATGCCTGTGTCCATGCAGCACAGCACGGGGAGGGACAGTCGCGGGAGCGGATAAACTCACCATTGTGCATGCATCCCGTGGATTGCTGCACCGCTAGAAAGATGCAAGCCCGTGAAGCTACATGGCTGAATCTGGAGAACATGACACGGAGTGAACGAGGTCAGTCACTAAAGACAAATATTGTACGTTCTCGCTGTGATAAGTAAAGAATAAGTATACACACAGAAAGCAAAATTCTTTGATGATGAGAAGGACCAGAGGGAGGAGGAGGGGGAATCACTTTTGAGGTAGTCGATACTTGTTAACTGTTGGCGATGGAAAGGCAAGATCAAATATGAGAATGAGTAAAGTCAGCACAATTCAGTCAAGATAAATAAAGACACTAAGATGTACATTGGAATTTCAAAGAGTTTGTAGAAAAATGGAATTAAAATATAATGGATTTCTTTCCCCACAAACTTTTCAAAGTCCCTTATATACAAGGAAGAGGGACAGTTTTGGTCAATGAGATAACATACACAATCTTGCAATAGTAAAAACACTCCCCCCAAAAAAAAGAAATGTAGTTGTATGGATCTCACTACCATCAAGTTGCTTCTGACGCATGTACAGAAAGACATATGTGAGTAAATTTATGTGCATGTTAGATGCATCTATAGACGTGGATATCTACACATTCATGTGCTGCTTATATCCATATAGATCAGTGGTTCTTAACCTTCCTAATGCCGTGACCCTTTAATACAGCTCCTCATGTTGTGGTGACCTGCCAACCATAAAATTATTTTCGTTGCTATTTCATCACTGTCATTTTGCTACTGTTATGAATTGGGCAACCTTGTGAAAGGGTTGTTTGACCCCTAAAGGGGTCGCGACCCATAGGTTGTGAACCACTGATATAGATAAATCATACAGGGGACATCCGGATGACACAGGATTAGTTTACAGGGTTAAAAGGCTTAGGATCATGGTTACAAGGGACAACCTTGTCTGTTGGGATAACACAATTGACAGTGATAACATTCTACATCCTGGTTTAATGAACAATGTTAGATATTAGAAGCTTGTGAGTGGTCCTCTAAGATACAGTTGTTGGTTTCTACTTGTATGGAGCAAAGGAAAATGAAGAAAATCAAAGGCACAAAAAAGAAATCACTCCATGGACCAGTAGTCCACATAAACTGCTGCCACTTCTAAGCTGAGACCAAATAGATGGTGCCCAGCCATCTACTGTTTTGACCAGGGGCACAAAATAAGGTCCCAGATAGAATGGAAGGAAAACAAACCAAAACTCAAATTCCTAAAAAGGCCAGACCTTCAGGCCATTAGAGACTAGAGGAGTCCCTCAGACTACCCCCCTGATATAACCTTTGGATTTGTGTTGCCCTCCATTAGACAATGAACTGTATGCTTCTAAAGAACATCTGAAAAGCAAAAATGAGAAGGCAAGAGGGGAAGGGATAATAGAGCAGTGGAAAATAACAAATAGCAGGGATACGAGAATGCCACACAGTGTACCAGTCGCAAAGAAACCTAATTTACTGTGCATACTTTTACCTGAAACACAATGAAGTATGTTTTAAAATAATAGGGGATTCTAACTACTATATATACTCAAATATAAGCTGACGTGAATATCACCTGAGGCACCTAATTTTACCACAAAAACTGCATTTAAAATGTGCTGGAAAACGGCTTATACACGAGTATATATGGTATATAAGCATTACTTCATGAAGAGCATTTAGAATAGTGCTTAGCACATACTAAGAATTCAATGCTAGTTTCTGTTTTCATTATTTTTATCATCATCATTGCTATTGGCACTAAGCCCTTTGAAATGCCTCCAGTCAAGGATGATAATGTCTTTGAATCTGGCCACATCAACCAAATAATAAGACTCTCTGAGGTGTGATTAACTGCATGCAGAGAGAGAGCCCATGATTCATTAGATTTTGCTTTTAAGTTAAAAACTTCATCTTGTTCTATATGCCCTCATTGAGTGATCCCATCCTCGCCAATGGCTTTTAATTACTACTCAGAGCCATCTGACTCCCAAGTTTCTATCTCCAGCCCAGACTTGTATGTGGAGGGCCTGACCCATAGAGTCAGATGTGCTGCACATAACTGCTTGGATGTCTTTATGGTGTCTCAAAATCAGCATGACTAAAAGTGGTTCATCATCTTTCTGTAATCCAGCCCCTCCTCCAGTGTTTCCCCGCCCCCTCGTAAGTGCCATGTACCCTGTTTCCTATGAAACATTCTTTGTTCTTTTCCATCTCATTCTGTCCTGTGCATTACACTTCCAAAATATGTCCCAGAACAGTTCTTCTCCCAGCCTCTCTGTCTTTATCTTCACATGAATTACTTTGCAACTTCCCAGCCGGGTACTGTACCTCTGGCTTTGGGCCCCTCCTATCCATTTCCTCTTAGCTCTGTATTACAGAACTAGCCATCCTACCCAACGCAGTCCATCAAAGGGGTAAGAAAATGCTTCTAGAAATATAACATGATGGGAAATATACTTTTATCTGAAAATTTCTGTGGGGGAATATTATTTGTGGTTGTATTTGGGAAAGTATGATTTTTTTTAAAAAATCACTTTATACAACTCTTATCACAATCCATATATACATCCATTGTATAAAGCACATTTATACATTCGTTACCCTTATCATTCTCAAAACATTTGCTCTCCACGTAAGCCCCTGGCATCAGCTCATTTCTCCCCAACCCCCTCCGTCATGAACCCTTGATAATTTATAAATTATTATTTTGTCATATCTTAACACTGTCCAACAACTCCCTTCACCCACTTTTCTGTTGTCCATCCCCCAGGGAGGAAGTTATATGTAGACCCCTGTAATCGGTTCCCCCTTTCTACCCCACCCTCCCTGCGCCCTCCTGGTATTGCCACTGTCACCACTGGTCCTGTAGGGATCATGTGTCCTGGATTCCCTGTGTTTCCAGTTCCTATTTGTACCAGTGTATATCCTCTGGTCTAGCCAGATTTGTAAAGTAGAACTGCGATCATGATAGTCAGTGGGGAGGAAGCATTTAGGAACCAGAAGAAAGTTGTATGTTTCGTCGTTGCTACACTGCATCCTGACTGGCTCGTCTCCTCCCCACGACCCTTCTGTATGGGGATGTCGAGTTGCCTACAGATGGGCGTTGGTCCCCACTCCGCACTCCCTCTCATTCACAATGCTATTTTTTGCTCTTTGATGCCT